ACTATATAAATTTTGTTTAAATCGAATCGAAAAGGATCGAAACCGAACGAAACTACAGTTTTTATTGGTTCTCCTATTCTACAAAGTGACATACGATACAATTCCAGTTCTATTTTAGCTGGAATTGTATCGTATGTCACTTAGTAGAATAGAAAATCCTGGTCTGTGTCTTTACACATAATATTTTATATCGCTACAGTACAAAAACCACAATGGACAGATCTTTTTAAATCGGTCACAAGTGTCATAAATAATTCATTGTTTACTAAAATGGGTGTCAGCGGATTTATTTTTTGTTGATTTAGCTTAGCAATGTCAATAGCGTTTTATATAACGCATTGAAGACAATCGAATAGGCTAAATACAATTTCGATGTCGCGATGCGTGTTACATGAATACTGCCTGATTTACATTGACCTTTTAACAGCAAGTGAAATTTTGTTTACAACAACTAAAAAGGTACAATTCTAACATATATCTACCGCACAAGTTTAAGTAAAAACTGTTTCTCTGTTTAAAGAGAAACTACTGAAAAGAGAGAAATAATACCACATTCTTTTATCTTATATAAAATCGAGACAAAAAGTGGATACATCAACATTTTTCTTTTTAGTCGCCTTATAACTTTTAATCTTCGTCATAAAATCAACAAAACTCTTGCGTAATAATAAATCATCTAAGATACCGTTCATCGCAGTGTCTACTTATACCTGTATTTATATTTCATCCAATCGAAAGATTAAAAAACATAAAAATGAGTCACTGAATATTAGGTATCACTCTGCAAGAACTTAAAAGAGGTAATGTACAGTAATGTATGCATCTAAAAATCATAAAATTCTAATCAAGAAACTTAAACTTTAACTTAGTTTTGAAGAGCATTATGATTCTAGAACTATTCAAAAGAAAATGATTTCATTTTCTATAAGAGACAAAACTCAAAAGTAATCACACTGATTTTAAAAATCCTTTCCACTTTCAAGCATTATAAAACGGGAATTATATTTAATCAGCTTTGCGTGGCGCCACGATGACGTGTTTTATGTACAATACGCAGAATGGACCGGATAAATCAGTTCCATACTAAATATATGAAACCAATTCGCACGCGACGAAGCAGGTTGACCTAAATATAACCAAAACTCAAAGCTAAATTTTATTTTAAAAAAAGCCTCATTGGCTGGCGTGGTCAAGCTCGTCGTGTATTGATGTCACGGTGGTAATACCACCGAATACATCACTAATACCATCACAGAACACGGACGTCTTTCTGTGTTCTGTGAATACCATTCAGTAACGTTGTATCCTGCAACAGCTCTAAATAGAAGGCACCTGGCGAGCTTGTTTACGTTCCGGTAATATCAATGGCTCTTCCCGACACATGTAAGCAAGCTCGAATGTCCTGTATACAGCACTCGTCCCAACCCACATGTTCGATACTGTTTGCCCCTTGACTCATTATTAGAAGAATACTATAACAATACAATAATAATATTGACTTAAAATAACCTCAGAAAATATAGCGTTTTCAAAATCGGAATCTCTAATCGTAGTTTCAGATATTTTTTTTTTTGTTTTCCTATCCAGCAGAGTAACTACCTTAGTATTTGGTGGATTAATTTGGGTAAATCTCAGTATTAAATCTATAGGATTATACCTATAGATTTAAGTTGGTAACACTACTTTCAAATCTATAATCATCAACCTTTGTATTTCGTTTGTCATACATAACTAAAGTCGAAGTAGTTAATTGAAACGAAATATCGACATAATATCGATAATATTTCATGTCAAACCCAGGTCCTGGGTAGCATCAGTGGTTAGGGCATTCGCTCAGTTTGCGAAAAGTCATGGGTTCGAGTCCCATCTCAGAGTGCCAGGCACAAAGTTAATTTTTAAAGCATTTTTCATCAAGAATATTTATCAGAAGAGCGTTGATCAAATATAATATAATTAGAACAAATTTGTGAAAATATTTCTTTTGGTTGTTTGGTGGATTGAAAAAACGATCTGTAGTAGCGAAAAAATTATCATTTTTTCGCTAAAAATTAAAAATTTTAAAAATTAATATTTTTCGCTACTAAAAAGCGATTAAATGTTTTTAAAAACATTGAATTCGATCTATATTAAAAAGTGGGAAATTATAACATTATTATAGCGGAATATTTTATTCTTACCATTTTAGTCGTTAATATCAATTAATCGGTATAGGTATTAAACGAATGTTATATCTTTTATTTGTTATATGGTTAGTTATAATAATTAAACTTTATGAGAAAAAACTTTATATTATAAGAGTCGTATATAGAATGATGGTTATCTTAACAAAAATTAAGACATTCATTATGTTATACAAATTAAGTGTTATATGAATTGTTATTAGACGTTTTGAATATAATGGTTTATCATATTATACAAAATGAATGTTATTTGAAAGAATTGTTAACGAAATTATGATAAGTCGTTATTACAAATGTTTATTATATATCTAACGTAATTGATATAAAATGATATCAAAAGTTGCTATAACAACTGAAGCGCACCCTGTTGCTTCACCTACCAGTTGACCATTCATGATAGCTCAAGGATAAATAATGGATAAATTATTAGTCCATGGTATTGGTATGGCGATGGGATGACTGACTGCAGTGTCGTCTATACATCAAAATAGTTCAGCGGTGGCCGTACGCATAGATAGTTCCGTCACAAAATTAATTTTAAAACAAAACAACAATAATAACTGAATTACCGAAAATGGCAAAACAACAAGAAAGGCAATTCACAATGAATAAAATCCCATATTTTGTATTTTGACTAATAAAAATACATCATAATCTGACAAAATTAAAAAGCTGTACTGCCGAAACGTTTGAAGGGATTAGGCAACGTTTTAAATTTGTCAGAGTTATAGTGACAGGAGAATCGTGCCGATATTATCCAACCCTGCTTCTTTGGGTTCTTTAAGATGAACACTTTTAATTGTAATAGTTATTAAATCATTTAAGTTAGTCAAATACTCATAAATTTGTTTATTAGATAGCTAAAATGACAACAGTTTAGTATAGCAGCTGGTATTTAAGTGAATATGTAGCAAATTAGCCGTCAGTCTTAAAAGTAACATGATTATTGATATTTTGTCACTAAGTATACCATAAAAAGTACCTTATTCAACATCTGTCTAATGCTATAATTAATGGAGTATAGTTTGATTCCGGGAACTAATGTTTTATTAAATACTTCCTCATAAGCAAAAGTCATTTAAACTACATTGTGTATGTGTACAATAAAGTCCACATTAAAATTCAGAATAATTTTGTACCTTTAAGTTACAATAAAAGGAACTGTTTTGATTTCAAATTTTTCTCACTAAAAGAAGTTAACAAATCAGAGTTGCCTTGGTATCTGTTTGATTATTTATTTTGTGATAAGTTAGTTGTATCTTATATATTTTCGTATACATGACATAAAGACTGTGGCTGTAAGAATATTGTGATTCCTTCGTCGTTTCTATTTTAATAAAAAAAGAGTAAATCTAGTCCCAGTGTAACCAGTTATAAAGTCATTTTACTATTTTAATAGAATTGAACTACCATAACATTTTGGGATGAGAAATGCGTTTACAGAAAATATACGCTAAATTGGCATAGATAGTAAAATATGGTAGCGTATATAGTAAACAAGCCTGGGTGATGCGCTTTGTCAAATGTACCTAATTGTAATAAGTAATTTACGAAAATTTATCAAATTAAGTCTGTCAAGTTATTTCCTTCTAAGTAAAAATCAGATATATGAAAAACCTTTACTATAGTATTATATTAATCTACGCTGGAGAATAATAACAAATTTATATTACGTTCATAGGAAAATCTTAAGTTAAGATTAAGATTAAATAATTTTCATTTTTATTATTTATATGTAGCTCATAATAAATAATAAAAATGAAAATTATTTAAACTGAATAGATCTGTAACACCGAAAATTTAATTTGAAAAGTTGAGTATTCAAAACTGAACTGAAACCTTCTCGATGCAAACAAACATACAAACAATGAAATCTTTCCTCTTTACAATATTAGTATAGAATATAAAAATACATTCAATCAAAAAATCAAAATATTAAATTGTTAAAATTCTCATTGCAGTATTTAAAATACATTTTACTGGAATGGTGGCTACCGGCAGCAGAAAGTTACAGTTATACGTCCTATCTACTGGTTCGATATTCATATAAAATTATTAGAATGTTTATTGTTACTTTTTCCAATCCGTGACTGTTGGGATGTGTTATCACTTATCATAAAAGTTTATTCACAGAGAATTTGTAAAAACGTTAAATTTCGTCGTCGTCGTCGTCGTTAATTACTACCCCATATATTATTATTAATATTATTGACATGCCACTGGTTTTTAAGCATTAAAAATTGATAATAAATAATTAACAATTTGCATATTTCCGTAAAAAAAAATGCATATACGAAAAATAACGTTTTGTGTACAGATGACATTGTTAACGATAATTTTTTAAATTGACAATGATCTAAATACCTCCCTTAAACTACCAGCTAAGTTCAAAAGTGCGTATATAATTATCGTCACAGGTACACTATTACCAAAACACGTTATTTTTTGGTAATAGTGTACCTGTGATGAAATATGGTACGGATAAAGGTAATCTCCTATGAGTTTTATTGATAAACCCCGTTTTATTTGCATTTAAAGTTGGGTTAAAAAGAAGTATGTGCTACTTTTATATAAAGTCACTTTACTATAAAGTCTTTAATTGATTGATAATAATATTTGTAATATTGTGCCCTCTCGAATTGAACAGTCGTTGTTGGATGTTTTCCAGGGTTTTGTAATTTAGTTATAATTTCGTTTAACGTGAGGTTTATAAAAAAATATAATGCAGCAAATTGCAAAAAGGCTAGAAAGTATATTGATACAGGTACACAGGTCCAAACATTTGTAAGTTTAGTAGAAAATTCATTTTTTTCTGGTCACACTGTTCGTTTCCTTCCGGTAAAATACGTCAACGCCAAATCTGTCCAATTTTCTAATAAACGCTAATTTCACAATCGCAATATTATTAATTTACCTGTATAACGTTATCATCTGGCCTGAAAGCTCTCCCTATACTAAATTTCATCATGCCACGCGGTGAGTACTCCATCATTTACTAGGAAAAAAACTCAATGTCGTCCAATGATATGCGAATGTGCTTAAGATTTTGAGACTATTATGATACTAATTTGAGTCTTTATTTATGCTTTATGTTTGTATTGACTCGAAATCCGAATGACCGAGTCAATATCTAAACATTGTACTCTATAGTTTTGATGTTTATCATCGAATTGTTTATAACCTATAAATTATGTTTCAATAATAAATTTCAGGTAAATATACTAACCACAAAGGCCGTAATCGTAAGTTTACCAGCCCCGAAGAATTAGAAGAACAGCGTAAACAAGAAGAGCTTAAGCAAAAGTGAGTTATAAAATAATAAAAAATAGATCCTATTAGAAATGAATTTGTGATGATTGTTATGTGTCAGAGTAATGCATAAATAGCTGAAACTGGCTGTAAGTTCTACATCTTCTATATAAATACTTTCAGATGGAGAAAAGAACATCAAGAAAGTTCAAGTGAAGAGGAATCTGGTGATAACAAGTCGGGATCTGGCAGTAGTGAAGAAAGTGACTCCGATGATGATGTAACTATAAAAACATGTATTATTGTATTTACAGAATATAATAAGCATATTCAGCTTGAAGACAAAATTGTACATTTTAATGGCATTATACATTCTTTATTAACCATGCAATTAATATTGTTTTTCTATATTTTATCCGATTTTGTATTTGGCAAATATAAACAGTCATATGACAAGGTTATAAATATGCAGTTTGTATACTAAGAGATTAAATAAATAAAATCTACTATGGACAATAGTTAAATATTTTGAATTAGTTGTTTAAAACTATCAATTTGTCTGAACTCTATGCGCATGGCATTAATGCATCTTACAAGTAGAAAAGCTGCATAGCTCAAGCAAAAGTATACTGCATAGCTTCTCCACTTGTAAGATGCATTAATGCTATTGGTACCCAGGTAAATACACATGTTATTAAATATCCGTACTTGTTGCATCTATAATCTTTATTCAGTGATTCAATAGTATTTCTATTTTTCAGCATCCTACTAAAGCAAAGGGTGTTTCCGGTCTTATTGAAGTAGAAAATCCTAACCGAGTAGTGAAAAAAAACAAAAAATTATCTAATCTGAACAATTTAGGTGAAGGGGAAAAAGCTCCGCTATCTAGGTTAGTATTACATGTTACATTCTTTGTACTATAAATCTAAGGTTAGTTTCATTTTGTATCTTGTTGATTCTAAAATATTTTAGCTATAATTGCTCTCTTAAAATATTTCTATCAACAATCTATTATCATCCAATTCAATAATTGCCTCACTGCTGCAGCACTGGCCTTCTTCCCCACAGAAAGAATTGAACAGGAATAGCTGCCATAATCTATAGATACATTAGCAAATATTTTTAGTGAAAAAATTATAAATTTTTTATAATTTATAACACAATAATTTTGAATTAATGTGGTTCACTTATTTAAAAAATTATTGTCTCAAGCTACTCCGTGCTTCGAACGTTAAGCCGTTGGTCCCGGCTGCATTTGCAGTCTTTAATACCCTCCAATTCGCATTGGGCCAGTGTGGAGGGTCATGGCCCATCCTCCTTAACCATCCATAAGGAAGGCCTGAGCCCCTGCAGTGGGGACGTAAACGGGCTGGTGATGATGATGATGACTTATGTATCTTGGCTAAGTCATTAAAGGTATTGATTGGTTTGTCAGCATTCCACAAGCAAAGATTCACTATGCACCATATTAATTAGCTAACAATAATGATGGTAGAGAGTTTAGAAGTTCTCCATACACTCATTTTAGAGTAGCAGTTCTTAACTGGGACCTCCCCATGTTTGAGACTACTATGAGACAAAATAGTCCCTACTGATGAATATCCCTGAAGATTAAAAGATTAAGAACCATAGGTTTAACCATACATAAGTTTGTCATTAAGAACATAAATGCTGGTCAAAATCATTCCTTTTTTGTACTCCTAATTATGCTCATTGATAAACAAAATCCACCAATGACAGCAGTTCTTCTTCTCAATGGTCAAATCACCACAGTTGTTTCTGTAACTCAACACCAGGTTCTGTCTTTTTGTTTAACATTCCTGCCATCCCAGTTCCCTCACAAAGTATTGTCTATTTATGTTGTTAGTCTCCAATGCCTTTGGGCGGCTCATTAGTTTTGATTACTTATAAGTTAATGAAAAAATATTTCACCTTTATAAGACGGGAACGTGAAGAAATAGAAAGGCAACGCGCAGCGGCCGCCTATCAGAAAGCGCACGCGGAGGGAAAGACGGATCAGGCGCGTGCAGATCTCGCTCGCCTCGCCATCATACGACAGCAGAGGGAAGAAGCGGCTAAGAGGAGGGAAGCTGAGAAGAAAGCTAAGGAAGAGACAACCAAGAAAAGGTAGGCTAATGTTAAATATCCTAAAAGTACAGTGAAATACAACTATATGAAATGTTACAAAATCCTTACTAATATTATCGATGTAAACATAACACTGTCTGTGTGTTACGCTTTCATGCTTAACCATTGACCCAATTTATAATTAAATTTGGTCCAGAGATAAAAGTGTTCTTAGAAAGGAGGTTACCTTTTATCGCAAAAATTGTATTAAAATTAAAGTTTATATGAAAATTCGTTATTTAAAGTAACTATAGCAAGCGAAGTCGCGGGCAAAGGCTAGTATCCATCAATAAACATAGCTACAGTAACATACAACTTATGTGGCATATCTTAATAAATTTCAAATATTTGTCTGTGAAATGTTTGAAATTTATAGTGAATCTTGTTTCGATAGCCATAAGGTGTAAAATACAACGCATTATGTCATCTCATTTACACTTGTGAGTCATATTAGTCATAAAAATAAATCTAACTTCCCCATGCCTTTAACAACATTAAAGTACGTTTAAACATCTTGATGTAGCTCATCAACCTCATACTAGTGTTGTTGTGTTGCAATGACGATATTTTTGTCAAGTCAAAATAGCGATGATTAGGACACTTAATGCCGATTATGACTGTCCGACTAATGCCGAACGCGGTTTCAGGGATTTCCGTGACACTATATTTACAAAGTCGCAACTGCAGAGTACCTTATTATGTCTATATAACTCTCGATGTTGAAATTGATTCAATTCAAATATTGTATCAACATACTTTATTTCCTCTCTTTTTGACACATTAAATTATCTTTTTATTATTTAAAACCAACTTCGCTGAAATCTTTAGTGACTAAATAAATAATCTTTTTCTAAATTTATTGCTTTTTCCTTTTGATTACCGTATAACACAGACAAAATATATATTTTTTTCTAGTAAATCAAATTGATAATCATTTTGTTGCTACTGTTATAGTTATTTAAGATACGAGTGCGGAAAGTAAGGTTTTACGAATAAATGCCAAATTGAAAATACGAGCGTAGCGAGGGTTTTCATTGGCACGAATTCGAAAAACCTTTTACGCTCAAGTTTCTTACAACAACATTTTTCAACGCTTTTTGCGAGGAACTAAAACAAATATATAGGTTAATGAAACTAAGTATGTATTAAAGGTAAAAATTATTTGTTAAAATTAAACGTGATTTGAACATGTTTTCGTGTCATACATTTTTATTTGAAAATATTTGTTCTAGGCTCCTTGAAATACTTTTGCCTCTAAAGGTTGACATATTTTATCCATCTTTTTTTATTTCTTTGGTACTCGGCCAAAAAAAATTAAAAAAATACTTTTAAGCACGTATGCAGTAAAGGATTTCAGTACATTTTTATTTAATACGTGTTTAAAGACTCATTTTCGGTGTTTATAATGGATTAAAAAAATTGCGCTTTATGAGCAACTGCATTGAAAAAGTATTTTTTGCTTACAATACAACGCATAAGAACGTACACACCGTGAACACAGCGAGCCCTGCGCTTGCGCACAAGCCGAGCCGGTTTAAACCAATTTTGACAGTAATTAAAGATATTGATCAGATATCTTATTAATTATCCAAAAAAAATATTATTTTGATAATTACGAACCCTGGTAACAAATTTATTGTTAAGTAAATCGTAGTTAATCTAATAACTCGATATGGAATGATGATATCAGTGCAACAGTACTTCAATATGTTTGCATTTGTGTTTCAGGTAGACATATATCAACTCAGCTCATTAAGGATGTCCCACTATCTGCCGTTTCACAAACCTTCCTCTTAGCTAGGTTAGGCTTTCAAAATCTATGCGAAAATAAATGTAATATCATTAATATATGTATGTACACACAAGGAATTGTCTGATATTTAATAAATGTGCATAATAAATGTATCTATTATAGGTAATGTTATTATGATGAATTTTATCTTGAAATATTCTTTTTGATTTTGAAAAGCTTTCCTAGCCTTGATGTTTAAAACATGATTATACAGATAATTTATTTTTTATTAATAATAGTGAATGAAAATATCCTTTACACACCCCATATGAAATTTTTAATCAAAGTTTTTAGGTAATTAGTTAATTAAGATAAATTGAATTCCCGATAGTTGTGTGGTAATTTTTTTGACATATATTATCATTGACATAATGTGTCCGAACAGCCTACGGTATTGTAAAATTTGCTGTATTTGACTGCCTTGAAATATATACATCTGAATAATTTTTAGGAGTTAGTTTAATATCTTTTATATTATTGATTATTCGTGCAGACTATGTAGGTAAATTGTATGAAAATATTTATAGATCTCTTGTTTTTATTTTATAGAAAAACTTGTTACTCTCTTACTAATATTGTTCACCATAAAGATCTATTACTCTGCTTATAAGACATTGTGGCATATATCGATTGTCAGTATAGTTTGAATATACCGAATGAAATAATAAGACGGCTTAGCCTAATTATGCTCCTCATATTGTTTTATTCTTGAACATTATCTCTTAATTAAATTGTTATTTTTCACTTAATACTGTAATTTGAGATGCGTTAGACGGTTTTTTTTTATGTTTACACCTTTTTTTTGAGACTAAATTGGCAATCGAATCGGAATCCCAATGTTGTATCAATCATTTTTATTATTCTTTGAAGTAACAGTAAAAAATATGTAATTCAAATAAAATTTATAAAAATTTATGTAAATTTATTATTTGTCGCATAATTACAAACTTAAATAAATTGTTGTTAATCTCTTTGTTCTCACTTACCACGAGATAGTTTAAAGTAATAATTGAAAAATATTCAATTAAATAAAGAAAAATTTTCGCTGTTAATTTGTTTAAAGTGACAAATTATGTAATGTTAATTATTAAATGAAAACTAGAAATGAAGATCTATCTTGTCTGTAACATACAAAGCTCGCATAACTTGTATATAAGGCATGCAATATTGTATTTATATATGTATGTATATATATTTACTTGAAATAATTTGTGTAAATTACTCATGTATGAAATGAATAAATACTATTCTTGAAATTATTAATTTTATTTTTGTCTCAGCGTCAGCGACCCGTTAGTTTCACCACGCGGTTATATTTTATATTTATAAGATTAATCTACGTTGCCAATGTACACCATAAATTTGATTTGAACACTCACCCAAAGACACCAATGACATCGATGTGAGTGTCTAGTGTCGTTGATGTCTTCGTCGAATTGACTAATAAAAAATAAACTTGCCGCATTTTTTTTATTTTATTAAATTAGTTATTTTTACATGTTACATTTAAATTATACCATTTTATATGTATTATGTATCAATACAAAGAAAATATATTGATACATAATTTATACAGTTATAATAAAGCTGAAGGGTGTTTGTTTGGTTAAACTCTATAATCTCAGGAAGTACTAGAATATTCTTTTTTTAGTTGAATAAGTCCATTTATTACATTACATTATATAACATCACGCTATGATTTATATATAGAGTGAAAAAGCAATGAAAAGCGTTGCAAAAATAAGAGAATACATTACTTTTTTAAAGCTTTCCTTGTGTGCGCTTTGGTGAAAGTTACGTAAAAATCATGTATTAACAAATTGATCCCCTATAAAAGTTATAAAAAATGTCCCCGGTATCATATGTTTACCTTATATCAGTATTATCCAGAAAAAAAAGCAAATAAAGGGGCGAAAATGAGAGTGGAAGTTCGTATAGGGCATTAAAACGTTACCATAGCAACCATTGTTTACAATAATTCAATTTGTCATTGTAATTATATTCTATGTCTACGCAGTATTAAATAATATTTTGAATAATTCAAATCTGTACCATCGTTGTATTTTATATTAAATATTTATATTATACTAGCTTTCGCCAGCGGCTTCGCCCGCATGGACCCTAGGGAAATGTTTAGTAGGATAAAAAGTATCCTATTATCCAAGTCAGCCAATACCCTATCTGTATACCAAATTTTATCAAAATCCGTTCAGTAGTTTCGGCGTGATTGACGGACAAACATACAAACATCTAAACATCCAAACAAAGAAACTTTCACATTAATAATATTAATAGGATTGGTTAAGTACACGAAAATGCTACATTTAGCTGACGTTGACGCTGATCATTAGATGACGCTACTGATCTTTAAAAGACGCTACTGATCTTTAAATGACGCTACTATACCTACTTTTATGACGGATTTTGATTTTTGTTGTTTATAATCTTTATTTTTTTTTCCGATTTTTAACTTTCCTATTATTATTATTTCTCTTATTACTATCTTACAGCCTCTTTTATGTTCAATTTTACGGTGCCACGATCAACAAATAAACGCTTATAGTCATGTTCGGTCTGCGGTTTAGCTCAGAAACGATTTGTTTTATAAAGATGTTATTTAGCATGAGCATACACTAATCACGCCGCAAATAAAATTAGCTTTAAAGTGCCAGTTTTCGTTAGATTCAACTGTCCCCTCCCTCTACCAACTAAACGGTTGTTGTTAAAAACTCAAACATTAAGGCAGCATTATTTATATATAACGAATTTAATAAGAAAACTATCACACTTAACTACAAAATTTCGAACAACTTGTGCTTGCCCGGTTTTTTTAAATAGTAGGTACCTATATTCTACTGGAGAATTACTCTCTAACGACAAAATAATATATGTGTGACTGTAGCACAGTCTCGCTCCCTCTCTCTCGAGGTCCCTCGGTCTTCTCGGTCGAGTCAATGTAGAAAAAGAACTTTTCTATATTGTCTCGGGTCTGGATGTTGTCCCAGGTAGCAATTTAAACTTTTTTCTGACTTGCAAAAAGTTTGATACATCAAAAATAGTTACTTCAACTTTGCCATTTGCATGTTCGAGGCAAATATTGTTTTAGTTTACTACGTTTTCATTATTACAACTTTAAACCCAGACCACAGCACAGAGCCTAGCCTAAGAGCCAAAGTAATTAGTAGTCAAAGTACTGGAACGGTTGGTTTCGAATCCACTATTAAAATCATATTAAACGGCATATTACTTATACAATCTAACAATATAAATTGATACCACGATGCATTAAATGAACAGCGCCTGCTAGTTTGAGACTTAGAACTATTCGGGCACCTATGAAGATGATAATATAAGTGTCTT